CGTGCAGCTGGAGCGCCCGGGCCAGCCGAGTGTGAGGCACAGCGGCAGCTCCGTGCTCCCACCCAGGGACATCAGTGCCACGGGAAAGGCATCTGCCCCAGCAGGCTCACCAGCCGCACCGACAGCCCCAGGGCAAGGTGACATGAGAGCAGGTCCCCAGGCCCTTCACACACCACACCCGCCAGTTCCCACACGCTCACCGCCTCCGTGTCTCTGCTCTTGCAGACTATCTCGTGGGCCTGGGCACGAAGCTCATCCCTCTGCTTGTCCACCACCTCCTTCAGCCGCAGCATCACCTCCCGCTCCTTCCGCGCCATGTTATCTGAGCCCAGACATGGGGGGGACAGGCGTGAGTTGCCCCAGGACCAAAGAAATCCCCTAACTCCACACCACTATGAGGTTATAGAATCACAGAATAGCTGGGGTTGGAAGGGACCTTTCAAGGCCGTCTAGTCCAACCCCCTGCAGTGAGCAGGGGCATCTTCAATTAGATCAAGGTCGTTCAGAGCCCCATCCAACCTGACCTGGAATGTTTCCAGGGATGTGGCATTGACCACCTCTCTGGGCAACCTGGGCCAGGGTTTCACCACCTTCATCGTGAAAAATTTCTTCCTTATTTCTAGTCTAGATCTACCCTCTTTTAGTGTAAAACAATCACCCCTTGTCCTATCGCAACAGGCCCTGCTAGAAGTCTGTCCCCAAAGGCTCCTCACTGCTTCTGCAAAGCCAAACTCTGATGTTCCTGGTAGATAGCAGGGTAGGAACAGTGCAGAGCAGGGAGCGGTGACCTTTAGGCTGTGCCCGATGCACCCTTCTGCTGGCCAACAGCAGCCCGCACCCTGTGTCTGCCTCCACCACCCTCCTGGAGGCTCAGGGGGTGCTCTGGGGGTTTGGGGTGCCGGTGGCTTGCAAAACAAAGCAACGCTCCTGCTCCGCGGTAGGACAGGTCTCCAGGGCTGGGCAACACAGAGGAGCAGGTTCAGACCTGCACCCAGCCTGCCGCCCTCCCATCAGGGGACCCCAAACCCACCCGGACACCCACCTTCCTGGGAC